TGTTATCTGTGGGGAAAGTGTGGGCACAATTTCAAAACACAAATTAGCAAATCTGTTATTACTATACATTTCTGAAAGTATTTGGGGGGAGAAATGATGACATCAATGCCACAACCCAGAGGTCTTTATGTGACTGGGCGGTAACAGCAAAGTCTACTATCTATGAAGGAGAAAAAGACTGTGTCATGGTATAGCTGCACTAGCAGCATGGCTCAATATATGGTAATGCTGGTTGGTTGGTCTAGCCCCTTCAACCACAGTGAAATATATTTATGCCAATTGGTTGGACTACAATGAAAGTCAGTGCAAATATTAGATCGATGCCCCCAGTGGATGAATCCTACTGACCTCTCAAAGCACCCCGCCAAAAAACTGGTCGAGGCTTCAGCTGGCAAATGTTAAAACATGCATGCCGATATGCAAATCAAGATGGACGACATGAGAGCGCCCACAAAGGTGAAGGCAGGGCAGGTTTGGTTAAGTTATTCTATGCTATAAAATGCCATGATTGACAGCTGAGACGGACTCACCATTCGTTAAGTGTGTGTATCGACGAGACCTTGATATCCTGGCTGATAAAGAAAAACTGATGATTTAGAAGTAAGAAGAAAATGTCCCGATTCACCTCATGCATTTAACAAGCTTTCAAAACCATTAATGCTTGTCACATCTCATACGTATGTAATGGCGAAAATCACTTTGCTTCTCTCCATCTTCTCTTTCAGTGTAATTGTCTCCAGCAATAATGTTCAGCCCGGCACTATTATCTAAATGTTCCGGTCCATGATTAAAAATGACTGGCATGTCTTTTTCAAGCATACAATCGATTACTTTCTTGATCTGAACTTTTTTTTATCCAGCTCTCAAAAAGTTTGTGCTGTTGGCTTTGACTTTTTAAAACTACATTAAGAAAGGCTCAGACTTCTTTGACGTGTTACATTAGTTCGTATCAACCGTAGAATTTATGTCATTTAATTTAACAGTATTTATTTATTCCAACATTGTAAATAATAGTCCCCCCTACATACACACACACACAGACATCATAAACACACACACACACACACACACACA